AGAAAATCTCACTCTAGCGAACATGCACTGCCCTCAGGTCTATACCAGACGTAATCGCTCGCTCAAGCGAAGCAAATCTGGATCGAGCCAGAAGACACAAAATACAACCCTCGCTCGAGCGACCAAGACCTGGCTCGAGCGACCAACCCAAAAACTGGACAGCAACACTTGGTTTACGAACCCAACCAACCTGAAACAAACCTGCCCAACACATCCTATAACTCCAAAAGAGAAAATAGAGGACGACAACAACAATTATTCAATGACAGAATAAACGGAACCTAAGTCCGGATACTATAATCAAATGGGAAAAGACCGGGGTCGCTATAGAAATTATCATATGTGTTAGGAAGACTACGTGGCTATGTGTGCATCCAATCCGCTATTTTTCTTGTTTTTAGCGCTATGTAATTTTTAACCTCTGCTATTGGTTGGGCATTGTCACAACCCAAACCCGACCCTATAGATTTAGCATCGTAATCGGCTAGTAATCCTCAGATTATCGAAGGCCTCTGGTCTGAAATACAAAAATATAATGGGCTAGCGGAAGCAAATATAGAAACATACATAATCCATTGAGCTGTGTAGACATATATGGGACAAAAATTTCAAACTTTATGTATGTGTATGTGATGCCATAAATACAGTAGTCTTACATCACATTCGTTACAAACATAGCCAAAAGGGGACTTAGCCCATAATACAAATAAACAAAAAACTTGTTCATATTCTAGAAAGAAAACAAAGTCTTATACGTTCACAAAACAGAGCTACATAACATTAGGAACCTCCTCGGGAGGCACAAAGACTGGCTGACGAACAAAACTCCAGGTTATCAGTTCTAAGCCTGGTCATGTGCCTAGTCACCTATATACATAAATAATGAAGTGGGCAGAAGCCCAGTGAATAATAACAAAGTAAAGGGTTAGATGAATGATGTCCATCACAGATTTGGAAACAAAGTTTATATTAGAAACAGATTCTTATCAGAACAGAGTCTTATGCATTTTCAAATTTCAAATCAGAAACAAGTTCATATACATATCCTTGTTCGAATCATATACATAAATCAAAGTTCATGCTTAATCATACATGGTATATCCAATAGCACTACCAGATCAAATACAGAGCATTACGGATCATACTTGTCAATTCTAGAAAGGAACCTCCAGTATCAGGAACATATAACATACTTGAGCCACGATATTATTACCCCTGGGCAAGGGCCATGTACTAAGGATGCCACAAATACAATTCGAAATTTGGACAATCATTCATTTCTATGAAGCATAGCATTTTAGAAAAACTGATCATTTCATATCATTAGAAAATAATTAAATTTAAACATAACTTTATAGAGTTATTACTCATAGAAGGCTGCGAAAGCAGATAGACTGAGCAGACAAATCAGATATCTTGTGGCGCGTGACCTATACAAACATAACAATATATTCTTGAACCACACACCGAGATAATACTTAACTCATTCCATTCATAGTGTGTTTCTAAGTCTTATCCTCCTTATTGTGTCTTATTTATGGCATAGGAATGCCTAGGATGAAATGAGGATGCCAAAAAATGTTGTTCAACACTTAATGAAATTTGCTGAAAACAGGGTTCTCGCTCGAGCACAACTTTCTTCGCTCGAGCGGACGTTCAAAAATGTGAGTGGTCGCTCGAGCGCAACTTCCTTCGCTCAAGCGGTCTGTAAACTCTGCAAAAGTACTGGTTGTGTGAATTCTTCGCTCGATGGTCACTCGACGATCGCTTGAGCGTGAGACTAAGGTCCTCGCTCGAGCGCACCTTTTGTCGCTCGAGCGGTTTGCAAAAACATAAAACTTCTGGCAGCTTGCATTTCATGCTCAAGCGGACTTCTGGTCACTCGAGCGGAAGTGCAAGATCACAGAGTGGTCGCTTGAGTGTAGGTTCTGTCGCTCGAGCGGAGAGGTCGAATTCAGGAATTTCCAGATTCACCTCTAAGTTGCAAAACTCGAATTCAATGCCTTCAAACTCAACCTTTGGGCTCCAAAACTTGAGAAAACATGTTTAAACTTAAAAAACATAGAGAATTGAAGATTATTTTGCAAAATCAAGGCCCAATAGCAGGACAATTGTCTAAAATTCCGCTTGAAACTCATGATATAAACATGCATGTAATTTATTCAAACTTAAACCTTTCAAATCATGCTCAAACAAGGTAATTTAATGGTAATCACGTTGAAGACCTTTCAACACATGATCAATTAAGGTCAATTGATAGGAAATGTGCTAAATTCTTAAAAGCAAGCTAGAATTATGACATGCATGAGAATTGTTTTTTTTGAAAATAACATCAAAAACCATGAAATGCACATGTATGCATGATACACTCCCATAATCATCTATCTAAGCTCAATTCTAGCATTACACAACTTAATTCTTTGGATTCATGTGTTAAGTGACTTAATTCCAAAGTTACAAGGTTGAATGCTTATCTTAGATGATTAATTATGCCCTAAATAGTTAATTGTGTGAGGTTCCAAGCCAAAACATCCAAATTATCTAGCAATGTCCTTCTCTACCTCAAGTTTGATCTCAAGCTTCTTAGTCTCTCACTCCTCTCACGTTTTGGTCTCAAGAGTGCAAATGAAGTGATGAGGAAGAGAATTCAAGAGTTATATTGGCCTTATACAAGCTACTTAGATAGTCTGAATTAATTGGCTTAAGAGAAATCAAGTATCCTTATTTTATTCTAATTAATTCGTTCCAAATCGAATTTCAATTAAACCAACCATAAAATTCTAAAAATTCCAACTAACACAATAATCAAGTCAATTTCGTGATCGGATGCCGACAAGGCCTTCAATTCGCAAAACGAAACAAAACATTAACAGATCTTTATTCAATAGATAGATATAAGTACAAATAATGCAACACACATGCAATTAATTTAGAATTTCATCTTAATTACTCATTAAGCATCTTTAATCACGGTTTAGCAATTAATCATAGGTCAAGGTTATTACAGGCATACTGCTAACGTGAAATTCCCGGAAGACTGTATAATTACTCAGTTACGCTAGGATGAATAGAGGACGCAGTTTCTCAAAACTCCCAAATTTATTATGCGAAAATTCACAAGTAATTATTTCATATTTTTGTATTATCAATTTAGTATCTATGTTAATGTGATGTTTTTAAGTAATAACAATACTAGTAATGAAGAGGAAAGATTGGTGAAATATCCTTCATATAGTTTTGATAGTAGGAGAGGTTCAACCCTTACTACTTAAGATCATTTAGTGTTATTATTTTAGTAGTTTAGGTCCTTTATAAGTGTAAAATACCTAATTTACGCTCGATAGTTTGAAATTGGTGTGAAAATTTTGTATCTTGTTTCAACAGAGATCGCGTTAGGATTTTGATTTGAGATTCCGATTTCATTTCTGTTTCCGATTCGGATTTCGATTTCAATTATGATTTTGTTGAGCCTTTTGTTTTGGAAGCTTTATTCGAGTTGATTTTGTAGAATTCTCCCCGATTCTGATTTCATTTTTGTTTTGAGATCAGGATTCTGATTTGAGGGATAACATTATTCATGATTTTGATCGCTCGTTTCTAGTGGAGGTGTTCGTTGTTTTCGATTTCATTGTTAGAGATTTTTGTCTGGAAGGTATTCTTTTTGTAATTAATTCTCTGTAATTGAAGGTTTTTTTATTTATTTGTATTGATGGGAAAAAAAATTAGTGATTGAATTTGATAGAGAAAAAAATTTAGTGTGCAGTATATTTATGATTTGCAAATTTCTCTGAATTAGATTTTGTGTTTTGGAGCAATGATACAGTTGTAGTTTAGTGTGTAACATGTTTATAACTCCCTTTTTTCAATTTCCTCTGAGCACTGGTGGCACTAGCTGCACCAGTATTACAAGTTAAATACTCTTTTACTTTTATATTTTGGATAAATTACACTCATCTCCCTTGAAGTTTAAAAAAAATACAATTAGTCTCTATATTTTTGATATAATTACAATGTTTTATTTTTAGTATCGCTAAAGCTACTAAAACTAAAGCAAATGATGGATAGACACTCAAACAAATAAAGATAAATATATATATATATTAGTTGAAAATAGATTATACTATTATTTTTTTTCTCTATTTATATTATAGCGACCTCGGCCTTTTCCCACTTGATTATTGTATCCGGACTTAGGTTCCATAGATTCTGTCATTGTATAATTGTTGTTGTTGTCCCTTATTTTCTCATTTGGAATTATAGGGTGTGTTGGGCAGGTTTGTTTCAGGTTGGTTGGGTTTAGAAACCAAGTGTTGCTGTCCAGGTTTTTGGTTCTTCGCTCGAGCGAGGGGTTGTTCGCTCGAGCGAGTGGTTGCGTTTTGATTTGGACCTGTAGCTGTGCATTCTTGGCTCGAGCGAGATTTTCTTCGCTCGAGCGAGTTAGTTCGTCCTTCGCTCGAGCCATAGTTCCTTCGCTCGAGCGTGTGTCTGGTTACAGACCTGAGGGTTTGAGTTCTTCGCTCGATCGAGCTTTCTTTCGCTCGAGCGAGCTTTTGGGTTGTTGGCTCGAGCAAGGTTTCCTTGGCTCGAGCGTAGTTTCTTTGTGTCTGGTTGCTCGAGCGACCATGTCTTCGCTTGAGCGAGCCTGTCCAGTTTATATACACAGCAGCGGGTTTTGATCAGTCCTTTTGATTTTTTTTTGATTCCAAACCCTAGGTCCGACCTCTCTCTCTCCCTACTCACCTTCTCTCTTAGATTTGATCCACTTAGGGAGTGTTTCTACCCTAGATCCTTCATTAAAAAGATAGAGTAAGGCGAGGGCTTCCATTTAATCTGAATAGTTGGCGATTTTGGAGCACTTTGGTATTTGGGTATCATCTCAGTCTTCTCCACTTGGGTGGTTTTCTTCGAGGTAGGGATTTCCTACTCCATTTTATAGGTTTTGTTCTAAGCGTTGGTAATTTGATATGTTGGGGGTAATTGGGCAAATTTTGGGAAAAACCTTATAAATTCAGATCTGAAGTTAGTATTGCAGATCTGAATTTCAACTATATCAAATCTCACAATATTGCAATCTCTTTTTGTCTCTCGTTCACTTCCAAAAACCCTAGATTTCAAAGGTAAGGATTCTCTCTCTTTCTCTCCTCTCAGTTTTACTTTCAAAACTTATATTGGAGATCTGAAGTTTCTGTTTGAAATTTGTAATGCAGATCTGAAGATACAACTCTATCAAATCTCATAGTTTCAGATTTGCATGAGATGCTAGGTGTGGTCTGTTGCTTTTTTCTGATGTGTGTAGTGAGGCATGTGTGGTCCGTTGTTTTTTTTATTTTATTTTATTTGAAATGTTGATGTCTATCATTTAATCTATGCTCTGCTTTATCTTAGTTCGATATTAAAGGTCTTATATTCTTCAACTGTTTTATGTAAATAAATATATCTTTTTTTGAGCAGCTGTCCTTGTTTGTGGGTGGTATATTAAAGGGTCATATACTGGATGGATGTTATCTCCAATAGTTGGGTATGTTCTTTATACAGAAATCAAACCCTTTTAAATTATCAAATTGTGAATGGAAATGAGCAGACCAGTCTAGCACTATTTAATCAAGTTGAACAAGCTCAACTTGTTTGTGGGTGTGCTTAAATGTAAAAGAACGTAAAAAAAATTAAATGTTATTGAGGGCAAACTTCCTCATAATAATTCAAAGTTTTTCTATTTTATTTTATTTAAAGATTAATAAGAGATGAAATTTAGAAAATGGATTGTGCATTTTTTATTTTATTTTTTTGTTTTGGAAGATTGTGTGCAATTCAGCTCCTGACCTATTTAATTGTACCTGACTCTTTTATATTTCTGTTTTTCAATCTCTGTATGTTGAATCTTAATACTTTTTTTACAAGAAATCTTGAGCAGTGCTCTGGAAATTATATTGTTTTTTGGACTCAATTTGATCCTTTTCTTCTCCCACCTAGGGCTACATTCTTCATTGGTTAGGGCTGTAGATTGCTCTGAAGGGGTTTTCTGTGATACATCTCTGAGATTATGATAAATTTGCTTATTGTGATGATACTTCCGCTTATCAGGTCATATATGGAGCAGATCATGATATAATGTGGCTCCAAAAGGACTTTGGCATACATATCTGCAATTTGTTTTGACACCAGGTAGGTCTTTGTTTTCCTATGAGATTATTGATCAAATGAAGTGTAAATGAGAAGGAATAATTTTTATACAGAATTTTTATCTTTTTTTCTAATAGAGTAATTCTATACAAACATAATTTTTATGCGGAATTTTCATAGGCTTTTTTGTGGTCCTTTCATTTCAAGCAAAAACCCATCATTGCAGTCCATAATTAAAAAAATGCCACTGTCTCATCATTTTGGATGGATTTTCTCTGAAAAATTTTTTTTTTGGGTGTCATTTTCCTTCTTCATAATTAGAAAAGTAATACTTAGAATGCTGCAGAGCCTCCCATTTTGTGACCTTTGAACAAAGCCTCATTGTTGTTGTGTACATTTTTTGTCATTCTCTGGATACGAAACCCCCTCACTGGAAGCTTTGCAAAGGCTTTGAGAAAAGTTCAAATCAGGTGTTAGATATGCAATTTGGAGTCTCCCTCACAAGTTTGAAGTTGGTAGGTATTGGCAATGGGTATCACCTTAGTTTTTCTTCACTTAATTGTTTAGAACTGCATATTTGATATAGGAAACAAGTTTGCTAGCCCTTGTCAATTGAAATGTGGTTATTTTTGAATTAATTTGTAATAGCCCCCTTTCCTGCTCTAAATAGCTTTGGGTTTTTCAAGTTTCTATATTATGCTGTCAGTTTTTATTTTATTATTTTTTTAGATGTATTGCTCTATGGAAATATATTACAACAAGGACTTGTGAATTGTGATTTTGATGATGTCTATGGTGTTTTCTTTGACTTCCTTATAGGTTGCTGCATATTCAAATGGCCATGTGAAAGTGAATGAGTTCCTAGATCCACTCGAACTAAATACTTGAGGTGATCTTTGTAATTCTATACTATTACAACTCTGCTAATATAATAGTTTATTACTTTTATTTTCATGTCAGCTGGAAAGCCAAGTCTATATTAGACCTTGCGGTATTGGTTTCTGTTAATTGCATGCTACTATAATGGCACAAACCAAAACATCGGTTTAGATGGGGTTAGTCATAATTGTAAATTGTAGATATGTATTTTCTTGACTTATCAGTTTTCACCATTTTAACCACTGCTCAATCTAATATATTAGAGTCCCAAACTAGAATTTAATAAAACATAATCAGAAGGAATCGTCAACTAATGACAATGTGAAAATGTCAGAATAGATCATCAAACTTTTCCTGGCACTATCTAAAGTCTAAACATGCTGATGCAACCCCCTACATACCATGGGAATAAATTATTACTTGGTCTACATCTTAAAATTCAATCAATGAAGGAAGGTCTGATACTCAGTTTGGTTTTGTTTTCAATTTTCATAATCTGAAAACAGAAAGTTTATTTTGAATGTTTAGTCTCTTCTAGGTCTTTTCATATCTTAATTCTTTGAGAAATAAGAGCAAAGGAAATCAATTTGTCTTGAAAGTTGGAACCATTTTAGTTCTAGCAAATGGGGCTTTGTTTATCTTACTAATGTTAGTTGTTGAGCTGCTATAATTTTTATCAATCCTCATGGTGATTCTTTATTGATATGTGATTGGTTCCCAACTGCCTACGCCAAACTTAGACAATTACAAATTTTTACATTGTAGTTGTCTGTATAATTTATTTATTTTTTTTTTGACTTTTTAGGATGCAAAATTAGTAATTAAGTTTTTGTATTCAAATTTTGCTAATATATACAATTTGTATTTTTAGAATTGATTGTTGATGTAACATTACACACAGAATCGGCTACAAAACTTACTATAGAATCATGTGTTGCAAAGTTTTTGTGGTTGGTTTTGTGAATAATACTTCTCCAACATTCTTTTTATTTACGTGAGCGTTTCTTTTTTTTTTCCCTTTTTTTTTTTTTTGAAAAAAGAGAGATACATAATGGTAAGTATCTTATGTTTTTACTAAGAGAGTTATAGAATGAAGAAGGCTTTTTGTATGTATAATGACAAAATTTCTTTTCTCTTCATATTTAACAGTTGATGCTGTGATAGAATTTACTCTTCTTTCTTCTTTTTTTGGGGTCATTTTTTTGTTTTGCTACAGAGATGGGAGAGTATGGAGAAGTGTACAAGACTCATAAGTATTTTAGTCCATAGTTAAAGTGCAAAAGTATGGAAAACTTAGATTAGGGTTAGAAAGAAGGAGAGAAGAACAAGGAGAAGAAGTTTATTAAACGTATGTTTTAGGCTTGTATAATAAACTTAAACCATCAGCAAATATTTATATGAGATACAATATAACCAAATGACCATAATACTCTTACTCCACACAAAAAAAATAACATATGACTACATATTCTAACACTCCCTCTTAAGCTGGAGCATAAAGATCGAATATGTCCAACATGGCATAGAGACTAAAATGAAGAACGAGCAAGGGATTTGGTGAGTATATCACCCAATTGATCATCAAAGTAAACATTTGGTGTCACAAGTTGCATATGCAACGACAAATCCCAGATGAAATGACAATCGACCTAAATATGCTTTGTCACTCATGAAACACGGGGTTATTAGCAATGAAAATAGCGGCTTGATTATCATAACACGTTGTTAAAGGAGTAGGAACACGAATACCAAAATCCCGCAGAAGAAAACAAACCCATAACATCTTAAGGTGGTATGAGCCATGGCACGATACTCAGTCTCAACACTTGAATGAGCAACAACCAATTATTTCTTGCTACGCCAAGTAACAAGATTACCCCCAACAAATGTGCAATATCCAGATGTAGAATGATGGTCAGTCCGACTATCGGTCCAATCAACATCACTAAAGGCAGTGACAGACAAGGAAGGAGAGGAATGACAGAGTAGACCGCGATCTGGAGCTCATTTTAGGTAATACAAGATATGACAAACAACATCAAAATGGGGTTGGCGAGGAGCATGCATAAACTGGCTAACAACGCTCACAATATAAGTAATATCTGGACGAGTGACAGTAAGATGAATTAACTTCCCAACCAAACAATAATACTGACCAATGTCAAGAAACAATGCCCTAGTCTCACCATCGAGTTTAACCGAGGAGTCCATAGGAGTATCGTTAGGACAAGTGTCTAAGAGACCAGTCTTAGAAGAAGATCAAGAACATAATTGCGTTTAGAAAGAAATAGACCCCGAGATGAGTGAGTAATCTCAATCCCAAGAAAATACCGACGATGGCCCATGTCCTTATTTTGAAATTGCTTACCCAAATAAAGCTTCAAATCAACAATACCGGTGGAGTCACTGCCAAAAATGATGATGTCGTCCACATAGACAATGAGAACAATGACCCCAATAGATGAGTTGTGAACAAAAATAAAGTGATCAGAAGTAGAATGACAAAACCTATATGTTAGCACAACGGTACTAAAGCGATCAAACAAAACATGAAGAGACTGCTTGAGTCTATACAAAGCCTTCCGTAGTCGACAAACCATATGCTCACTGCCAGGAATAATATAGCAAGGGGGCTAATACATATAGACCTTCTTGTGCAAATCTCTATGAAGAAAGGCATTCTTTATGTTAAGTTGATATAAAGGCTAAGACTGATTAATGACAACAGAAAGTAGAATCCGAATAGAATTAAGCCCAGCCACAACAAAGAAAGTCTCCAGATAATCAACACAATATATTTGAGTATAACCTTTGGGCACTAGATGGGCTTTAAGCCGCTCAACAGTACCATTAGGATGATATGTGAAAGTATAAATCCAACGACAACCAACAGTAGGTTTCCTAGAAGGGAGAGGCGTAAGTTTCCAAGTCTGATTTTGATGAAAAGCACTCATTTCCTCATCCATGGCATGTTTCTAGCCCGACATGGACAGAGCTTGTTGATAAGAAGACGGAGTAGAAAGGAAAGACGAGCAACAAACGAAGGAGTGAAAACTAGGAGAAGGACGAGCATAAGAAACACAATAAGCAATAGGATGCCGAGTGCAAGTACATTTATCTCAGCACAATGCAATAGATAAATCATCAGATGCCATAGGTAGAGGAGGGGCAGGAGCCTTTGACAAAGAAAATGAAGTAGCCGAGCCATAAGAAACAATGCAACGAGCTTGGGACCGCTGATAAACCTGTAGAGGAGATGTTGGAGAAGAATCTAAAATGATCGGGGCAAGGAGAGGACGGGGAGACAAAGGGCACTAGAAGAGTAGGAGTGGGAAAAGATGACTCCCCCTTACGGCAAGAGATAAGATCATTTGACAACCGCTGACTAGAAGGGGAAAAAAAAGAGGACTCAAAAAAGGTAACATCGGCACTAGCAAAGGACCGACGAGACTCTGGATGATAACACCTATAACCTTTCTGACTATGAGAATAACTTAAAAAAATACATTTGCAAGCACGGGGAGATAACTTATCCAATTCCGAATAAAGGACATGGACAAAGGCCACACAACTAAAAACACGAGGAAGAGGAAACGGGGAACAAGTGGGGTGTAACTGAGAGAATGGAGACCGGTTTTGTAAAGCAGCTGATGGAATGCAGTTAATAAGGGAACATGCAGTAAGCACAACATCACCCCAAAATTGTTTGGGAACATGTATGTTGAACATCAAGGTCTGGACAATATCTAACAAGTGGCGGTGTTTTCGCTTAGCAACACCAGTTTGCTAGGATGTATGAGTGTATAATACCATGATCATCACAAAAAGTATTCACAACAGACTGCACATATTCTAAGGCATTATCAGACCGAAATATTTTAATATGTTTCCTAAGCTGAGTAAAAATTTCATTATAAAACTTAGAAATTATTTGAGGCAAGTTAGACCGTTGCCATAGTAAAAAAAAACCAAGTCATTCGAGAGTAATCATTCACAAAAATAACAAAATAATAATAAAAAAAAAAAAAATCAAAAACAGAAATGCACAACCAAACAGAGGAGTTCTAGTTTGACACACTGTACTTATTTTTGAGCTAAAAATTCTATGAAATGGATTTAAAAAAATTAATAAATAAATATAATCATCCAAAAATTTGGAGGAATATGCAGAAACTTGAGACTTGAAGTAGTAGCAGTGAGAGGTGAAGCATCAACTTCTGTTGGTTCAACTCTCTTTATGAATCTGTAATTGGAGGAATATGCAGTTTTAAAATTCACTACAAACAACAACCACGAAAATACACTCCTACTACGCAGCTTTCAAAGAAATTCTGTGAAGAAGATAGAGTGTACGAACAATATTCACTGAAAAAGTAGTCAAACAGGTTGAGATTCCCATAATGCAAATTAGACAATTTACAGAACAGTGAAGAACTTTAGTTAATTGACTAACATAGAGAAAATTAAATGGAATGCGTTAACATAGAGAGTAGAGGGTAAGGAGAGAGATGGACTGGGTTGAAGTGTACCCTAGCCATTGATGGGTCGGGAGGATCCATCAGCTAGTATAATATTATGGGTAACCGGATGAAGATTATGAAAAAGAGAGGAATTACCAGAGAGATATGAGAGCTAGCGCTAGAGTCTAGAAGCCTAGGTTGGGATTGAGCCATGCATGCAATATTACCTGAACTAGCCAATGTAGCTGTAGAGGATGAAGGAAGAGCAGTACGAAGAGAATTGACTAGCTCAATAAGCTTGCTAATCTGAGTGGTGAGTGCATCATGAGAATCAACTAGGAAAGCACCAAGACCAGAGGGAAAGGATGCCGATTGAGAGGATAGAACATCCATAACCTGATTCAGATGATCAGGTTTACTATACTTCTGCCAACACCAGGGTTCAGAATGACCCAAGAAATCACAATGAGAACACTTTCGATCACCACGGGACACAGAGCTAGTACCACGCCCACCACGCCTACCACCACCATGATGAGAACCATGAGAATAACGACCACCACGAGAACCACGGGAACTAGTATGGGATCCATGGTGACTAGAATTGCCATGAAAAATACCACAGTTAGTTCCATGGTCACCACTACGCGAGATCAAGGCAGAAGAGAACAATGACTAAGAGTAATCAGATGTGGAAGAACTCTATCCCAAAGAAGAGCGCAACAACTAAGAATAGGCATTAGCACCCAAAAGTAAGGATGCCATCATAAATTCCTCCTAATATTTCTTCTGTTGAGCCAAATCAGTAGTAAAAGGTCGATGTTGCAATAATTGATCCCAGAAGGTCTTAAGGCCATTGTAATATTCAAGTAGAGGACAGCTAGACTGTCGGGTAGCAAAGATTTGCTCATATAACTCATCAACACGAGAGACATTACTGTGATTGGAAAAAGAATCAGCAAGGGAGTCCCAAATGTCCTTGGAGGTGTCACAAAATTCCATTGTAGTAGCAACATGAGATTCCAAACTATGCCAAAGCCACCCCATAACACATGAATCCTCACTCAACCAATCATCATAACATGTAGCATCCTTAGTAGGTGGAAGTTCAGTAAGAAAACACGACTTCTTCTTGCCACGCAAGAAAATCTTAACAGCATGAGCCCAAGCCAGATAATTCAGACCATTTAATTTCTTAGTGGTAATAGACTTAGGTAACTCATCATCCTTAGCTACTGAAGATTTCACATTAGGTTTTGGCTCAGCCATGATAAGGAAAACAAAGACCAGCAGCAAACAAAAGATTCAAAGAGGGGAAGAAAAAATGCACAAGGGAAAGCAACCCACTGGAACAGAGTTTGGGAAAGAAATTACCCAATCACTAGCATCAGCAAGTAGTCAAAGATGAGCATAAATTAGCCAGAATGATCAAAGCAGGCAGAACAGGGTTGCTGGACCAGGGAAAACACCAAAAACCATCAACAAATCAACCCAGCAGCAGCAGGGAACCAGGAAAACACGAAAAATACCAGAAAATTAGCCCAGCAGCATCACCGAAGCAAAACAAAGTCAAAAAGAGCCTCCTAGGGCTATTTCAGATCCCAAGGAACATATTTGAACAATCAAAAATTTTTGGGTAAGGAGCTTTAGCACATATCAGAATATTACCATCAAGAACTCGAAAAAAAATTCAAAAACAGAAAACACACACTAGATGTTACCCAAAAGGCAATCCAAGAGGGAGGTGAATTAGATTTCTATAAATAAAAATTAACAATTACCCAATAAAATTAACAACTAGTACAACAAATAGTTAATTGATGATAGATGGATGAATAATAGTTAATGATCAAGCACAATGATGAACTTAACAATGAAGTAGCTAACAGTTAATGCAGTGAATGATTTTTGGCTTAACAAATTATGATTTAGATAAATTTGTAATGGATTTAACTAAATCAGGTACGTAAAGATATTTGTAGATTTAGCACAATAATAGCAAATACTATAACAGTTATAGGAGAGACAAAAATGTAAAGAGATTAGGGAAGAGGAGGCAAACAACTTTATAGTGGTTCAGCTTCAACCAAGCCTACATCCACTCAAGCTTCACTTGAGATTTTTCACTATTTTCTAGCTTCACAGGGGTGCTAGCAACCTCTTCACAAATGGAGCAATCCTCTATAGATTTTACACAGATTGTACTAGTCTTCAAAACC